CTATTTGTTATGTACATGTATACTATATCAATACATAATATTGAGTGATAGTGTGTAGCTTACCATCAGAGCAAGACGTTTTTGGTGATAATGATGACATTGTAGAAGCAGCATCACTGTATATGTGATCTTTAATATCTTGAGCAAGTTTGTTCTGATTGAGCCTAGTCAGTACATCAATGATATCTCTCCATGTTGCTTTAGGATTGACTGACAACCATTTTGAGTATAACGCTAGCTTTCTGTCTTCAATTTTTGCCTGTTCTTGTTCAATTTTTAAAATGTCATGTTCTTCCATCCCAACTAAACATAAACCAAATGGTTTCCAGTCAACAAGTGGTTCAAGCCATTGAATTAATAATGATATATCAGGTCGATCATCAATCATAGGACCAGGATTGAGTTCAACATCTCCTGATAAGAGGAGGAGGAGAAGTAAAACCAAATAGTAGATCAGGTCAGAGCTACTGCCAATAGTAGCTATAAACAAGACTAATGACTGGAGGCAGTGGATCATAACAGTAACAGTAATTATACCTATTGTAAATACACTGTATGATAATATTATTTACTGTTAGTTTATTTACCAGTTGGAAGAATAGAATTGAGCTTCATATATCTTAATAAAGATAAAAGAAGAGAAACAATAAGAGACAGAGCTGCTGGCAGTTTAGATGTCTTCTCCCCCAATGTATTACTCCCTGACTTGCTGTCTACTGCAGCTTTAAATGAGTGAGAGTGGCAGCCATTAGCTGGTCTACTGGAGGCAGCTTGACAGTAGTTCCACAGTCCAATACTTGCTCTCCATTGAGAGACATCAATCATCTTGTAGTTTATAAGGGGTAGCACTGCATAAAGCCTTTGAAATAAACTTTGTGAAATTTTGTGCAGTATATGACTCTATAGGGCTGAGTTGTAGTTTTACACTAAAGTGGTTTTGACTAAATTTGGACATTTCACATATCTATCATAACTGAACTGATTAAGTTACTATACTATTATCACAGCAATAACAATGAAAATGCATAGTTTCCCATACCATACAATGGTGCATGTGAACAGCACACTGGCCATGTCTAGGCTTTAGATCTACAATATAAAATCTTAGTTATCAAACCAAAGTTACCATTATATTACTGTTGAGGATCACAGAAATTGTAAGGCTCTCAACTTTTACCAATATGCATGCTATGGTATGTATTTTTTGTCATTGCAATTGTGTATCAGCATAATTTGTAGCAGTATTAAGTAATTTCATTGCAGTCTTGTAACAAGGACATGAATACAATACTAGCTAACAGCATGCAATTGCTCTACATAAATGTACTAAACATCTACTACTTCAGCATTTTTATCTTTGGGTAATGCAGATATTTCAACAGTCTTGGCTAGTGATAATGTGCCTTCATTAGATTTAATATTTGGATCATCTTTCCATTCTAATAATAACTTGACTACTTCAATATGTCCTTTAGTGCTAGCAAGCACTAGGGCAGTGTGGCCATGAATGTTTGTTTTCAACGTTAGGATCAACTCGTTTCTTCAGTAATAGTTCAGCTATTTGAGTGTGACCATTTTGACAAGCCACCATAAAAGCATTCCAGCCATCTTTGTTTTGAACATTAGGATCAACTTGTTCCTTCAGCAACAGTTTAACTATTTGAGTATGACCATTTTGACAAGCCAACAAAAGAGCATTCCAACCATCATTCATTTGAACATTAGGATCAGCTTGTTCCTTCAGCAACAGTTCAACTGTTTGAGTGTGACCATTTTGGCAAGCCAACATCAAAGCATTCCAACCATCTTTCCGTTGATATTTATAATCAACCCCTTTGCTAATCAGTAGTTCAACAACTTCATACTTTCCATGGTAGCTAGCAATCATTAAACAATTCGATCCATTTGATTTCTTCAAGTGAGGATTAGCATTAGCTTCTAGTAACATGCGAACAATTGAAATATGATTAAATTTACTTGCTATCATTAGTGCAGTCCATCCATTATTGTCCTGAATGTTAACATTAGCTCCAGCAGACAGTGAACTGTGTACAATGTCCTCATGTCCTCTTTCACAAGCTACCATTAGTGCTGTCTTGCCTTCTTCATTAGTATGATCAATATTAACAGTTCCTAGTTGAAGAAGAAACTCTACTGCTTCATTATTACCAGCTGTGACTGCCTCAAGGAGAGCTAGTTCAAAGGTCAAGTTCATATTCTCATCTTCTTGAAGGACAGGATGATCATTAATGTATAAACTAAATATACCAATGAGACGCATAAACTGTAACTTTTCTCCACTATATTCTATTAGACTATCAGCTGTAGAACCATATACAGAATATTTTATGAGAATAGATCCAGAAAATATACTGATATATTTCATTATTGACTGCTGGTGTCCAACAGGAAGTAAGTTGTGAATCAGTAGAGAGAGTCCATTGATGTTGCTACTGTGCCATTGATTATGAAGCTTCATTGAAATCATCGGCATATTTGATATATCTGGTATATGCTCCGCATAAATTTCCTTCAGTGCTTCGTTAAGGTGCTTCACTTGAGCTGAAAATCGAAGTTTATCAGCTTTTTCCTTGTAAGTTTTTAATTCACTATAAATGACACCAAATTTAAAATCCTGTAGAAAGACTTCACTTATGTCCACTATCAGGCTGCAATCAATAAAATCATAAAACGGATGAATAATTTTGAAAGTTTCGTCCAATGATGCATTTGTTAGTTTATCATTCCAATGCATGTAAGCCTCCAACCATATGATTAGTGAGTGCAATATTTTGGGATCATTATCAGTTTTCTCCTCAAGACCTAATCGTGCACGCATTATTAAATTGGAGAATTCTTTTTTGAGGTCCATTAGTGTGTGTAATATTTCCTTTTCACCTTCTACCGTTTCAAACTTCACTTCTGCATGTGTTGATGTTTTGCTAGTGACAGCAACATAGCTTCTAGCTGACCTTGGTGCACTTTTTTGTAAATTTCTTCGTATATTTTGGACAATTTTGTTTTGTCTTACTTTCCTCAGTGCGTTAATCACATCAGACCATGTTGCTTTAGGCGCTACACTCAACCATTTTGTGTACAATGCTGACTTTTGTTCATCAATTTTTGTATTTTCTGCTTCTATTTTTGAAACATCTGAATAAGTAATTTCTGGTAAGCAATGACCAAATGGTTTCCAGTTAACAAGTGGTTCAAGCCATTGAGTTAGCAATGAAATATCAGGTCGATCATCAATCATAGGACCAGGATTGAGTTCAACATCTCCTGATAAGAGGAGGAGCATACGTAGACAAACAATCAAATAGAGATCATTGTAAATCAGGTTAGAACTGCTGCCTCCAGGTAAGACTACTGACTGGAGGTAATTTGTATCAGTAACACCAGTAGTACATACTTGGTAGCAGTTACCTAATAATAAAATACCAGTAAATACACAAGTACAAATTTGCAATTGTTACCTGTTGGAGGAATCATCAAGATGTGTCTTAATAAAGAGAGAGAGTAAAAGAGGAGGAGTAAAGCAATAAGAGACAGAGCTGCAGGCAGTTTAGATGTCTTCTCTCCTGATGTAGTACTGCCTGACTTGCTGTCTACTGCAGCTTTGAATGAGTGAGAGTGGCGGCCATTAACTGGTCTACCAGAGGCAGCTTGACAGTAGTTCCACAGTCCAATACTTGCTCTCCATCGAGAGACATCAATCATCTTGTACTATAGTATGGAGGACAATGAGAAAGTTAAGTAACTATTTTAGAAACCACACTAAAAAGGCAGAGCTTCAAGGTAGAAACCAGCAGAAGCCTTCAAGAGTTTGAATGGCAGCAAGCTTTAGTATAGGAAGTAACAGAAGCTATACATGTACTAGTATAAAGGATGAGTATGTGTGTGGTATATAGCACCTCATGAAACTACTTATTGGAACACACCAATAACACTGAATATCATTATCAACAATGATTATAATCAATAGAACAATACTGATTGTAGATCTACTATTTTTTATAACAAATAAATATAACTCTAAATTCATTTAATTATCTGTGTGTTGGATGAATAGAGCACTTACTATTAAAGGAAAACAACACATTACAAGCTCTTCACTGGGCATATCTGATAACCTACCATCATCACTGAATATACCGTATAGCCGGAAAATTTGGTGGAGAATTAAATTTGGCGGATTGGCAGTTCAAAATAAAACCACCAATATTATAACCACCAATAATAATTGCAATTTTATGGGCGGGTTGATTATACTAAAAATGGCAGTATTTCTCACTATTTCAGTCACAAAGTCAAGACTGTGGGCAAAGACTGCCAAGGAGCAGCTTGAAGAAGAGCTGAGTGTGCTTAAAGAAAAGACAAGATAGTCAACCGCCAATATTATATTTAGACAGTTTTGATGCAAAACCGCCAAAGTTTTAGACCGCCAAATTTTCCGGCGATATGGTAGTAGATGTGATCACACACCAGACTGACTGGTCTACAGATAGTAGGAAATTGGATGAATAAAAAAAACTGATGATATCACTCCTTCAACATATCAAAAGATTACACTGTCTGATACTACATGAACCATACCCACCACCACATCTTCTGTTTCTCTCTCATCACGGTCTACATACACTTACTTTTACCCTTAAACACAACTGAGAGTGCTGAACTATTTAATATTCTACAAACTAATATATATATATATATATATATATATATATATATATATATAGGGTATACTTAAAACTCTGAATGTTGTGATAAATGGAGTAAGAACGTCATGTACCTACTGTTACTAACACAAACCACTACCAATAGTGGAGCTGAAGACGAAAGGTTAATTGAATAGTTAAAGGAACACGATTATTTTTTGCATTGTATAATTATTCTTGTTTCCTTTCCTAGCTTAGATGACATCAATTTTTAATTTCATGATTGGCCTTCATTAGATGTAGTATTAAATTAATGTACAGTACATGTACTTGTAACAGTTTTTAAATAATAAAAAGCATGAAATGGCAGTGGAGAACATAAATGAAGAAATAAACTTAATGCAAGACAGTAATAATTTGCTATAGCAATGTTTAAATAAATACTTCAACTTTTGTCCTCTGGTTTCTGTTATGTCTCAGGATACATCTTGTCAATTTCATCTTTATATTTCTTAGCAGTGACACTTCTCTTCAGTTTCATTGTTGAAGTTAGTTCATTTCCTTCAATACTGAACTCAGCTGGTAGTATAGTGAACTTCTACATTTTCAATAATAATAATACAATTTAAAAACAGAACAATAAATGTACATAAAACAGGATTTATTGGCAAGGGATTAAATTTTTGAAATTTCTTAAAAACCTTTTTTGTGGATGAAAATCCAAATGCAATTTACTACTAATAAATCCAAATATTACTACACAGTTATATGTACACATGCAAATAAAGAATATATTATACAATAGATCTACCTGAACACGTGCAGCTCTACTGATTGCCCTCTCATTAGCTCTCTCCATTCCTTCTTGTATCAACTGCTTAACAATATCATCATCTTTAGCTTCAGTAACTACATGTATTACATGAATATGTATTGAGAGAGAAAGAGAGAGAGAAGGGGGAAAGTATAATGACATTATATAGATATTAGTATCTGTATTGTACATAAATTATTCTAAAAAATTAATCACTTCACCCTTTCATTTGATGGTACGGTGTGGGTATAATAAGCTACATAAAGTTCATGAGCATTTTTACTAATAATAAGGTAATACTGATCTAAGGCTAACCAGTAGTAGATTGGGAGTTGAACTGAGACAACATGTTTACAACAAGAAGAGATAATTCATCAGTTGGGGCAAGATTCTCATCAAACTGCATGAGGAGAGAAGAAAAGAGAGAGGGAGAGAGATGATTAGGAGCAGAAGAGGAGAGGAGAATAAGGAAGAGAAGGGAAAAGGAAAGTGAGAAAGATATACATAGTTTGTTGTACTTTTATAAAGTTTCATTTACTTTAACACGTAGAGTGACCAGCATTGTTAGATATTTCCTATCATCTCCAACCAACATTACATTACTAATGATAGGGACCTCCTCTTTAATACACTAATAATAAAATGATGTACAATAGAAAATTGTATCATTAAAATAAATATTTCAAACAAAAATGTGTACATACATGAGGATGAGTAAAAGAAAGAGTAGGATTTCCCACAAAGAATGCTAAGTGAGTTCAACAGCATAAAAAGCCTCATAGTAGCATATGGAGCAAATTCAAAAATTCATAAAATATCACAAATTTGATCGGAACCAACTTAAACTTTCGACGCAATATAAATACATATGCATCAGATAAAATTATAAAAATTGAAAATTTTTTTCTTTTCAATTTTGGCAAAATTTGGCAAATGACCCTGTACTGTAGTACAGTGGCTTTGGCCTGATTTTGGAGCAGCTTAAAAAATTTATAAAAAATCTAATTTTGATTCAAACCAGCTCAAACTTTTTACGCAACATAAGTACATGCATATGCATCAGAAAAGATTATTAAAATGGAGAATTCTCTCTTTTTCATTTTTGAAAAAATTTGGCCAATGACACTGCACTATAGTACAGGGACTTTTGGCCAACTTTTGAGCTGAAAAACCAAAAAATTTGTAGGAAACCCAAAGAGAGAGAGAGAGAAAGGAATAGAAAAAACATATGGTACATGTGTTACTCATATTACATCTTCAATAGGAACTGGTGCAATATTCTCTCCTCCTTTAGTTATTATTAACTCTTTCTTGCGACCAGTAATATAATAAAAACCTAACAATAAATACATGTAATCAATACATTATTAATAATAATTAGTGTGACATAGAAAAAATAGATACATCAGAGTAGGGACAGTATAGTCTCTCTTAATGGACACTCTCTATAGTGTACACCTCCATTTAAAGGACAGCACCTAGTGTACCAATTACATTCCTTACTGTATAAAATAACCTCCCCATAAAGGACACCTCTGTATAACAGAGACATTTTCTTGACCCAAAGTGTCCATTATATAGAGGCTACACTGCATACAGAGAGGTCTTCTTTATGTAAAGGTTATTTTATACAGTAAGGAATGTAATTGGTACACTAGGTCCTGTCCGTTAAATGGGATGTACGCTATAGAGAGTGTCCATTAAGAGAGACACTATACATACTAAAGTACTTACCATCTCCATCAACTCTCCCAATGTCTCCTGAGTGCAACCATCCTTCATCATCAAGTGCTTCCTTTGTCTTCTCCTCGTTGTCAAGGTATCCCATAAATATGTTACGCCCACGGAAACAAATCTCGCCATCTCCAGTCTCTGGATCGGGATCAAATATCTTAAGTTCTACTCCATTTAATGCCCGACCAACTGAGATTGGTTTATAATTATCTAAAGAATTTAAGAGGTAAAGAGAATAGATTTTATAGTAATTAAATTTTTAGCTATAGTTATATACATGTACAATAAAGTTGGGTTCGAATGCTGTACATGTATAAAACCTCATTAAAAATAAATAAACAGCATAAACTTGCTCAAACTTTCAACGTAACATACATGTACATGTATATGATCTACAACTACATGAACATGTGTATGTGTACATGCATGTACATGTACATGTACATAAAATTGATGATTATTTTCAATTAATAAAAGGTCACATTTGGACTGCTACAACTGCCAATAATGTAGCTAAAATAAAAAAGGCTAAAAAGCACACAAAACTATTATTATTATTAATACATGTATTTCAATAACATTTGCTAAATATACATTTACTGTACATGTACATGTGTACATGTATACTCATTTACCCGGAGTGTTTATGGTGACTACTGCAGAAGTTTCAGACATTCCATAAACTTGGAGTAACGCAATATCAAAACCAGCATAGAAATCAATCACTGATTTAGGCAACGGGGCAGCCCCTGAAACCTGTAGAAATAATTAATTACATACTGCATACTGTAGCTAGCAATTTGGAAGCAAAAATTAAAAAAATTCAGCCTTTTGCGACACTATTTTGTACAATTTTGTGCATGCTCAATGGTACCATGGCCAAAAATATGCCAAATTAAAACCTGAAAATTAGCAAAGTTTTGCTATTTGCTAAATTCCTCTCGAAATTTATTGTACATGTAGCAATGTTTTATTATGATGACTTACACAAAGTCTGCATTGATCGAGTCCAAGCTTCTCTCTCAGATTTTTAAAAACAAGTCTAAATGAAACGGATAACTATTTAAAGATGATGATAATACTGATTACATGAACAGTGCTGTAAAATCAATGTTTTAGTATTCTAAAACAGTGCATGATCTAAAATGCCTTGGGTATTTTTCACAAATCAGCCATTTAAAAAACGGCCATAACTTGAAAAATTGAAGTCGGAATCAGCTGAAACTTTCTATACAGCATAAGGACATCAATACGTATCAAAAAAGTAATAAAAATTTGGAGTAATTTTGGAGCCATTTTTTTGAAAAAACCATGGGCTATCCTTGGGTATTTTTTACGAATTGGCCATTTAAAAAAAGTTGGCCATAACTTGAAAAATTGAAGTCAGAATCAGCTCAAACTTTCTATACAGCATAAGGACATCAATATGTATCAGAAAATGTAATAAAAATTTGGGGTGATTTCAGAGCCATTTTCAGAAAAAACCATGGGCTATAGCCTTGGGTATTTTTCACAAATCGGCCATTTTTAAAAAACGACCATAACTTGAAAAATTGAAGTCAGGATCAGCTCAAACTTTCTATACAGCATAAGTACATCAATATGTATCAGAAAATGTAATTAGTATCGGAGATTTCGGAGCCATTTCAATAATAGAATTCCCCATTGTATGTAAACTACAGTGTACATAATGTATATAATGTATAGTTGTGAACATTCCTCACCTGTTAGCCACTCTATATCCAAGTACAGAGCTGGCACGCCCCCTAACCCTGTTCTCTTGTCTCCTCCTACCAACTCTCTATAATAAACAAACCATGTGACTATCATGTGACTATCATGTGATCTCCTAGTCCTTACCATTGATTTCTTTAAGATATATTTCTTGAATCCTCGGACGAGATCAAATTGAGCATCAATGGCTTCCTTGAATTTCTCCCAAACCCTCGGGACAGCAATGACTATTGTAGGATGTATTTCCTAAAGAAGTCCAAATAAAGTATAATTATACTTAAAGTACTATTGTACACTGTAGTGACTGTACATTCTATAGTATGAAACACATGCATACATGTACATGTACATGTACATGTCATAAGCAGTACAGTATGCATATAAGACATCAATGTGATTATTACAAGTACATATCACAGTATACAGTACATACATTATTACATAGATACCATATAGTGGGTAATTTTTGACTGATGCTTACTTTCGTCTGTTTCGTTGCTATTAATTCTGAACGAAAATTAATTCTGAAGATAGGCATGACCATAATAAATTATTAATAACATGATAACAAGCATGGATGGCCTTGAAAACGGTGTTCACCTTCTAAAGAATCTCTTCCAGACCCTACAGGACCAGGGGACTTCTTTCTAATGCTGTCAGTCCTACAGATGCTAGTGAAGACATAAGATCAATTATTTTTGTCTAGTCGAAAATAAAACCAACGAATTTTTATTCTAAAGTCATTTCTGGTTTCAGTCGAAATTTTCAACCACCGAAAATTACCCGCTATACGGTATACGTGTATATTGTCTCATAGATATCACATGTGCTGTACATTATATTACAGTAAACAGTACACAGTATGTGTTAGTACCAGTAGTGTGTCCCTCAGTGTTCCTTTGAGAGCGTCAGGTTGAGCAAAACAAACTAAAGTACCAGAGATTGCTGGGTTGATCACGTCAGACATTAGACCAGCAATATGACTCAAGGGAAGGAAACTGACAATCCTATCCTCCTATAGTGTATAACAAATACCAGAAACACTAACAATACATGTATATACAATGTAAATAAATAGATATATATTGTACATGTACATGTGAATGCTTGTGTATAATACAAATCAAGAGAAGTAAACTTATAAATTCTCCTATCTGAGAGAGATACTGGTCTAGTTACATTTTTATGGTTATACATGTATAAAGGAGTAAATATAATACACGTACATTTGTACATACATGTATGTGTACAAAATATAATACATGTGTACATGCGTGTATACATTTATATGCTTGAATGTTAATGTCAGCTAATGTACAGTATAGTACAAGATATAGTACAGTATAGAGGGAGAGAGAGGGGGGAGGGGAGAGAGGAATGAAGAGGAGGTGGTGTGCATGAACAATTGAACATAAAAGGATACTAACTGGAGTGATATTGAAGTTTCTGTTCATGCCTTTACTGACAAAAATAATGTTATCATGAGAGAGCATGACACCCTATGGAATCAATAAAGAAATGAAAAAATTAAATACAATTACATCATTTACATGCACTGTAATCACAAAAACCCAGAGTTGAACTAGCAACCTTACATTCTGAAACTGAAGATGAACAATAAAGCTATTTTGACCATTCTAAACACAGGTGTACATAATACTGTGATAATAAGTGTATCTATAATGGTAATATATTAGTGATAGGCATTTATTTGAGTAGAGCCCCTATTTGAGGAAAAAGCATATGATTTTTAAATTGTAATTGCCATGGAATCAACAACCATGCACTATAAGAACCTCATTCTTGTAAACTCACACATGTACATGTACATGTATGTGTAATTAAACTATAATAATAATATTAAAATTAAAGTGTACATCAATTGTAGTAATAGTACACATACTTTAGGAGGTCCAGTGGTGCCTGATGTGTATACGAGAGTGGCACAGTGTCCTGGTTTAATGGCTGACACTCTATCACTTAACACATCATCCTTCACATCCTATTAATGAATAAATGGAAAACATAATACAATTAATTACTACATGACAAAATGCCTCTATTTTTATAATTGTTCTCAAATCAGCTCAGACTTAATATCAATATGATAGGTATACATATACATGTACAAGTATACATGTAGGGTCTTTGGACAAAATTTGAATGATTTTAAAATCAAAATCAGCATACTGTATAGCTGGAAATATTTGCTGGAATTTAATTTTGCTGTTTGCTGTTCATCATAAAAATGCACAATTTAATTCCGCAAAGCATTATAAGTAATGGGTGTATCAACAGTACACGCCTACACCAGCAAAATTAAATTCCACAAACATTAAAAATAGCTATATTGGTACAAAATCGCAAAATATAATTCCCGCAAACTTTTCCAGCTATACAGTATATAGCAAAAATTGGTTTTTCTGATCAAACAAAATAAGTCATATTTAATGGTACCATATCCTACTATACAGGCCATTATCATCCCATGCATATTTCATCCCATCATGGATCAGTTAAGAGGCAGTGAGACACAATAAATAGCAAAATAAAGTGAAGAATTGATCATAAGTAAACTAATGCTACCAGTCAAAGTATTATTAAATAATTTATGAACCATAGCAGCATCTTATGGTAAAATGTTTAGACTGAGATATAGATTAATAACTGTTAGTATATGCACCATAGAGGAACACATTCAAGCATATATTATGTGTTTGTAGGTACATTGTACATTTACATGCTAGGACAATACAATACCATAGCATCATGTACATGTACTAGGAACAATTGAGCTGCTTTTGTGTGTGTAAATGAATAATTGATCAAAATATACTGTACATGTCTTGATAAGTAATAATAATTTTAATCCATGGCTATTTCCCCTTAGCTAGTGTTTCTCTCTCTCTCTCCCCTCTTCCTCCCTCCCTCTCTCTCTCTTTCTCTCTCCCTCTCTCCCCCCTCCCTCTCTCTTTCTCTCTCTCTCTCACTCTCTCTCCCTCCCTCTCTCTTTCTCTCCCCTCCCTCCCTCCCTCTCTCTCACCTTTCCCAGCTCCATGAATTCCTCCCAGGCTATTACTCCTTTCTCTCTCATTTCAGTATCCAATGGCTCCTCAGTCTCAGGGAGATACTTCACTATCTTCTTCAAAAGAGGCAAACTATCCTTTATCTATAAATTACCAACAACATAATAATAACAATATAA